GCCATTCCTGATTCCAGTTAGTCGTCTCGTGTAGCTTGATTTAAATTAGCTGAAGATAATTGTTGAGGTCCGTTTTATACTCTCTTAACTTGGTAAGAAGCATGGACTTCGAATCATGGAGGCAAACTTCGAGCCTCAAGGTCCATCTTACGAATCTGCAGAGATTGTAAACCAGAACTAATGAAAACTCAGAATAAAAAATATGATAAAAGCTTCACACCTTCTAAAAGAGAAACCATTACGTTACCACAGCATCAGCATCATCCAATCCGGGTTCAACTTCAGAGAGTTTTTTTTTCTCTGTTCAGCAGTATTTTAGAAACATAATCAGTAATAATCACCATGAGGAAAGAAGTTCATGAAAAAAACCCTCAAAAGATCAAACACATATTACTACTCCAGTTCACAAAATTCCTTACTTTGCAGCAAGTTCTCCAAGTGTGCATAACTTTCAAACAGACACCAAATTTTCTTCTTTGCCGAAACAAAAAACTTGAGAACTGAAGCTTTGGTAATGATGTTTTCTATTAGGGGATCTTGTACAGAGTATTACTTTTTGCTCTGTTCGTGGAGCATATGAATTCCTTTAGTCCCAGCTAAAGGGCCATGGATTAATCTAAACAGCCCATCAAATAGAGGATGATTAATTTCTCTAACAAACCTATAATCCGTAAGGAAGTAAAAGGCAAAACTTCAAACATTAATGGAGACATATATCAGATAATTATTGCCCACAAAGAAACTTTTGAAATTTACTCCGAGAATACTAAATTTCCATACACCTGCAACGTCATTGTAATTATCGTCATCGCTAACAACATTTAAACACCTAATGCAAGGTAAAGTAGATCTAGCAGAACAAAAGATAAATGGGGAAATAAATAGATAACACATCAAAGAGATTACTTTTAATCCCCCCCCCCCAAAAAAAAAGACTAAATTTTTTTAAAAAAGACCTTGAGCGGTGAAGACCGGCTTTGAGATCTATATCAATCCATTCAACATCGGCTTCTCTACCGTTGGAGTCCTTGAAACCTAGGGCAACGGGAACGGTGCTATCCGAATCATCAGATTCCCACTTTGCCGTCGTTTCAGGCATCTCGTATCAAATCTGTTGGGTCAATCGAACATTGCAGAAGGGATTAAATTGTAGAGCAAATTTTGTCAATATGGATGATGGTGGGTGTCAGTGTAGGCGGAGCAGGAGAGCGTGCCTTCTGTTTTTCTTTTTTTTTTTGGGGGGAGGGGTGTTAGATTCCGTGGATGACAAGGGGAACGGTACGTTTTCTTTTAGATAGTGAGATGTCCGAAAATAAAGAGGAAGTAGGATGGGGTAAACGATGAGGGCAATGAGGTCTTTGTCATGGTTGGTGAGAAGTACAAAACGACGTCGTTTTGTAGGTTAGGGTTTTTCTCCCTCAAAATCTTACGGATTTCCTTTTTTTTTTGGATTGACATGAATTGATGAATTTCTATTTTTGCCCCTAATAAGTCGCTGACATCATATCGAGCTCATCCGACGGCCGAGATCGATTTGACGGTGGTCCTTGAATATTTCTTAGGTATTATCTCTTGCCTACTGTGCCTTTTATTGAAGTATAAGAAAAAGTGAAAGTCCAAATTTGATAATAATTTCGCGATGGAGAAAGTATAAAAGAACTTTAATTTGAGAAAAGGTGATAATAATGTTCATATTATAACAAAATTTCACAAAGCCCAGTACGAATACTACGAATACCGATTTTCTGGAGAAGATTGTTAAATATACAGTGAAATTGTAGAGTAACATTTTTTTTTTGTTTTCCAAGGATGCAACTTTCGAGCTGTTTATCTGTCGATAAACTATGCATTTTTCGAAACCGAACTTTCACAATTTCATCATAGAACAATAAAATAATTTTCTAATCAAACTCAATACAATAACAAAACTTTATGAACCACAATTAATCAAATAGGGCGAGAATCTTTAGGAAAAAATAAAATTATACGGAGTGGATTCCCGTGAGCATTGTGAATACAGTGGCTGAAATTAAGTAGAACATTAGATCTTTGAAAATTGAAGGATAAAAGGGATTAGCCGAAGAGATATTATAGGTTCGACAAAGGACCAAGATGGAAGTAACGGTGCTTTTGCTTTTCTGGCTTTTTAAGTCTTTCAGAACTAAGATTCCATAGCTAAAAAATTAATATAGACTTTCGGTCCTAGTTTTTTTCTTCAATTGATAATAATAAAAGTACAGTAATTTACATTGGGTAGTACTATTTCTAGCCACCACTTATACATCTTTCAGCCACCAGTTGACAATTTTACCCTTGTTATTTTTTCAAACCGAGTAACTTGACAAGAGAGAAAACTAAAATAAAATTAAAAGCTAAAAAAAATTTTAAAAACAGTTGGTCGTGCAAGGAATCAATCTTGAGTTAAGCCCGGAACAGGGGGATCGCCCGCCCTCGAGTTAATCCGGACGTGTGGAACGCCCATCCCGAGTTAGCCCGGGACGGGTGGATAGCCCATCCTCCTTTGCCCCTAGACGGATGGATTGCCCGTTCACCTTAGACCCGGGATGGATGAATCGCTCGTCCGCCTTAGCCCTAGGACAGATGACTTGCCTGGTCTTGTCCGGTTTGGAAAACCGGTCCGGTCAGACCTATTTTTAAATTTTTAAATTTTTTTGCTATTTTTTAAAAAAACTTTGTAATTAGTTAATGTAGGTTTTGAGTTATTAATTTTTATTAATTAAATTTATGAATAATTTATTATTGAGTTATACTAAGTATCACCAATCTTTGTAGTACAAATAGTTAATCTGTTCGCACATATTCATCAAAATCTTTATAGTACAATTATTATTTTTTATTATAAATGTATAATTATTATTTTTAACTAAAGTTTATCTTAGAAAATAATGATTGAAGCAAAATTTTATGTTTTAATATGAATTCAAAGAAATTAACTTACGAATAGTCTTAAATTTATTTTCAAGTAAAAACTAATTACTTTTTTATTTTCAAATAAATATAAATTTGAGAGTTTAAGTACTAAAGTATAAATGGTGTTAATAATATTTAAAGCACGAGATATTTAGCATGCAGCGATACTACGAATAAACTAGTATTAAAATAAAAATTAATAATTTGTCCGTTCTCACGTGAACCTGACCAGATTACTTGCCCGGTTCGGTCCGATTTTTTGATTTTTTTTTCCAACTGCATTAGAGTGGCTCATTCTCTCTCTCTCTCCCTCTCCCTCTCTCTCTCTCTCTCTCTCCTTCAATTTGGTTTGGTCAAATGGCAGGGCAAAATTAGAAATTGGTGGCCGAAAGAAGTAAATTTGGTGGCTAGAAAAAAATAGTTTATATTAATTTTGAGATTTGTATAGAAATCTCAAAACTAATTTAAAATAGTCCGCATTTAATTTTTGAGATTTGTGTAAGATAGTTCGCATTAATTCACTTCAAATATTTATAGAGAAATTACTGCAAAAAAATTAAAGTTTTACCTATAAATTTTGTGAATTTTTTTAATTTTGCACATGCCAAATTCTTTTAATAAATTTTTTCCCCCACTTTCTTTAGTTCCTAGTTTTGCCAGAATTCGATCAGGCACTCGCCCTCTATTTTCATTGCTCATTGTTTTAAATCTTTAACAGCATGAAAAAACCTAAACTCTTTGCCCATAATTCTACAAAATTCTAATGGTGCAAACATTCAAACACTTTGAAATTTAGTGGCGTACAATGGGTAATAACGGAATTTTGAGCTGGTCAACTGGCATGTATTTGCCTATATGCCAATGTTTTGCATAATGTTCGGGTTTTTTGGGTTGGTGAACGTAGAGGAATTTCTACAATCGAAATTTTCAATATAGGATGTGGTCATCTCAAAGGATTATTTTTCCATCATTCACGGCAATTCCTAACATTAAGCTAACCCAGGGGTATGAAACAACAAAAAGTCCCCTAACTTATTTTTTAATTAAAAACATATGAAACATCTATTATCCTAAAAATAATTCATCATATACTTGCTACATAATGTTTTTAGATGAACATTTGTTTTTTTTAATTGTATAGCCTTAACGATAATCGAACCATCGACCTCCTGATAATAAGTATCCCCATCTTAATCCCCTAACCACCCCGCCTAACCTTCCCACCCATATGAACATTTGTTTGCTAGAGGAAAAATAAGAAGAAGTAATTGGAACGATATGGGTTAGCTTTGGAAGAGGATCATGTTACAATATCAAAAAATTTTGCTTTCTTTTTAAATTTCTTAAGAAACCATGTCAGCTAATGGGGTGCTTTACTATTATTTAATTTCATTTTTTAAAAAAACATATAATTGTAACAACTTTGGGCTAGATTGTTTAAGATTTTAGCAATTTTAATTATAACAATTGTTTTAAGCAATGATTAAGCTTAGTATAATACTCCCTCTGGTCCTTATTATAAGTTATGTTTATATGTCCTAAGTTTCATTTAGAATATTTCTCTAGTTGAAAATAAAACTTTAAAAATATTTTATAATAATTGAGAGAATTCAATATATGTAAAAATACATTTTTAAGTTTATATTTTCAATGAGAACAATATACATACTAAATAAAATTCAGAACAAATTAATATGTGTTACAGTAAGGACTGGAGGAAGTGTTAATGATCCTACTCAGGTTGGGTGGTCGCCTCTTTCGCCCCCATACTTTAAGGCAAGAAAATCAATTAAAAGGAAATAGAAGCGCCAACGATGTAAATAGTTGCCGCAGCAGCAGCTAGCTATATATATGTAATACAAGAGGTTTCAACCCGATTTCAACAGGTTCAGAATTGTTTCTTCTTCTTCTCACAGCCCTTCTTCTTCCCCAACTACACAAATCTCTAATTTTTCCATGGTATGACGAATTCGTATTCTACGCCCTTTATCGATTTCTTCTCGAATATTATACCGATTGCCCTCTCCCCTGCATCAACAAACCCTAACCCTATTTCCCAATCGTCCCCAATGCCTCAGCCTTGTACGGAGGAGCATCCGCCACAACAACCCCGCAACTTCCTCCCGGCCACCATCGATGACGGTGATGCCAACAATAAGAGTGAAAGACCTCAAACTCCGGAAGTCCCGAACGAAAGTCCTCACAAACCAGCCCATAATTCTGAAAAATCGACGGTTGATTCGGCTCCGGCGGCGCTGCGCCACGTGTCATTCAACAAGGGCAAGGCCGGATATTTTGCCACGGGCACTGATCGTGGATTCCGAATCTATAACTGCTGCGAACTCTCCAGCGAGCTTGGCTACAGGGAATATGAAGTTCCTGGCGGAATCGGAAACGTCGAGATGCTTCTCGACCACTGTGTTATTGCGCTGGTGGGGTCCCAGAATATGGACACACAGAATCCTGACAACACTAAAGTGATGATGTGGAATGATCAACGGAGGAAGTTCTGCGGAGAGATCAGCTTCAAGTCGAAGGTTCATGCGCTGAGGCTGCGGAGGAATCGGATCTTTGTGGTTCTGGAGCACAAGATTTATGAGTACCGTCTGCGTAATTTTTTGCGGCCGGTAAACCAAATCGACACCCTTCCCAACCCTAAGGGGATTTGCGATGTGTCTCGGGGTGCGGAATCCTTCGTACTCGTGTGTCCAGGCCAGCAGAAAGGTCAGGTTAGGGTTGAGCATTACTCTCCGTCCAAGAAAACCAAGCTCATTACGGCCCACGATTCCGATATCGCATGCTTGGCACTCTCCACGGATAGCAAGTTTGTTGCTACCGCGAGCGCCAAAGGAACTCTGGTTCGCGTTTTCAACACGGACGAGGGTGAGCTCGTGCGCGAGTTCAGGCGGGGCGCAGACAGAGCCGAGATTCAGAGTCTCGCGTTCTCCCCGTCTGCCGAATGGTTGGCAGTGTCTAGTGACAAGGGCACTGTTCATGTTTTCAGCCTTAAGAGCGGAAATTTGGATAGTTCTTTGGAAGCTAAGCTGGAATCTGAGCTTCCAAGAACTTCATCATCGGGGTCATGGTTGTTGGCTTCGGTGAAAAGTGTTTTGCCGAAGTATTTTAGGTCGGAATGGTCTGCGGCTCAGTTTCGTTTGCCGGAAGGATCTCAACCCGTAGTCGCCTCCTTCGGGCAAGAAAAGCATGAGCTGATGATAGTTGGATTGGATGGAAGCTTTTACAGATGCAAGTTTGACCCTGCAATCGGTGGAGAAATGACGCAGATAGAATACCACAAGTTTTACTAGCTTATTATAATTAGGACCCGGATAGACTACTTTTTCAAATGGAAAACTGCAAATCTCATATTTATAATTTTCTATTGTATTGACAACCCTTTTATCAACCCTTTATCAACATCCTAGGTGGATCTGTTAACAAAACCTATTTAGATGGACGAATTGACATTGTTCGGGATCAAAAGAATGAGGCAACCCCGGAAGTAATATAAACACTATCACAGTAGCAACATCAATGCCATAACAAAACTGCTAATAAGAAATAAGTAGTTTGGAAATAAGAAATAATGTTGTAGCATTTTGGCTTATATAAGATTATACATTACTATTTTGTGAAACCATAAAAAAGAAAGTAGTTTGGAAAATTGGTTCTAAACTAGCAGTGGTAAGGTTTTCCGTGGAATTTTTATAAGTCCGGTCCAGGAGTATTAAAAATAGTTCATACTTTGATAATAATTAAAAAAAAATTAACTCCAAAGAGGCGAAAAAAGTCCTTACCAAAACATTACCGTTTGTCTTGGTGTATAATCAAAAGGGCCCAAAAAAAAAAGATTGAGTTTGCTCTCGAGATTGTGAAACTGTAAATTGTATAATTAATTCCTCTTTGCTACCTAATTTATATTTATTATATATGGACCTGGGCATCCAGCCCGTGTGCTGTGAATATGGTTTTGAATGATTAGGGAGATTCTTGAAATTATACTATGTAGTTTTGTATATAAGAAAGCTATTATGCCGTCTATATCATTTACGAATGTTGTTGAATCTTGAGGATTATCCCACGGGGATTGGATTATGACGTTGCATAGCAAAGGTGTTAATTTGATTGTTTAAGGCTTTATTGTACTAATCAAAAGAATAATTCATGTTAACGGGTTTGCAACAAGGGTTGCATCTCGTTTGGGAGTCTTGCTAACTTGAATCATGGCATTTGTGCAGAATTATTCTTAGCTTTTCTAACATTCCTAGATTTAATAAGTTGTTCAAGCGATCAAAATTTCGATATTGTCGCTTTGTTTATAATGACTGGGCTAATGGATATGAGACCCTTTATGTCCCACCGATTTGTGATTGTAATCAATCCCAAGTCTTCTAACTTTGTTTACTGTCTTAGTCCACAACTGACAGAGGACTAGTCGAATTTTGCTATGGATTCAATAGCCAACTTGGCAGTGTCTAGTCCCCTAGTGGTTTAGCATGACTAGACGACATGCACCAAAATTATGGTAAGAACATGATGGAGTTGTAGTTGTAAACATGCTGTAATAATTTAATATATCTCAGAATATTGTAACGGAACAAAAAAGATTTATTCAAGTTAATATTTATCTTAAAGAAGAATAAATTAAATCTCCAACTCCAAAACAGATTTTTTTTCCCAATACATGCAAAAGAACGTTGATGAACTAGAACTATTTTACTCAAATAAAGTACTTTACTCTTCTTTCTTCTTATTATTTTTAGAGGAAAACAAAAACCTATCCACTAATCTAGTGGCATGCACTGTAATAAGAACGACACCTTTCTTAGTCTGTTTTCTGAAATCAATAAGCCCGAACGTTGGTAGAGAATTTTTCTTTTGGTGTCTCCTTTTTAGCAGCATCTTGGAAGTCCTCTTCTTGTTTTTCGCACGTTCTTTCTTTGGTAGATCTTCCAATGCTTTAACATACTTCCAATCGAGAAACGACTCTCATTTCCGGATGAAAAATTTCGACAGTCCCCTTTAGAAAATTAAAAAAAAATAAATTGAAATTAATACAATCAACATATATAATTAACAGGAATCATACCCATCCCGTCCCAAGGTAATTAACAACGGAAGGAGTAGTTACTTTTCACGTTAAAATCCCCTTCACCAAATTGAGAAGCCATTTATGGAGTCATGGATCATGATTGACCAAGTCAACTTTGTTTTACGAAACAAAAAAGGATGAAATAGAAAGGAATCGGATAGAGTATTACCTCAGTTCATTGTGATAAACTTGATTCTCTTCGAGCTACTACGATTCGGGTTCTGGGATCAATGTTTAATGCTCCTCCAAGGCTCCAACTGAACAATTATTTATATAGGTAATTGAGTGAAACCTAGTTGAGGAATCAAAATTTTATTTTTGTTAAAAATAATTGTTTTTAGGCAATCAGCAATCACAATAGAAATGTGTCGTCATAAGTTGGGTGATGAAGTCGGAAATTAAAGTATGACTTCTTTTTTAAGGTTAACTAGATGTTATACCCGCATGATGTGCGAGACAGAAAAATACAATGTATAGTTCCTTCTTTGCATTTGCTACACTTTATTTTTTAGATATAATTGATTCATTCATAAGAGAGAATATTTATTACTTTATTCATTCCAAGATAACAGTCTAATGTGTTGTACTTATTTTAATATGAGGGAAGTATGGCCTCAACCTAGGTATAACTACAGTTCAAGTTGTAACGGAAACCGATATGTCGGTTTATGAACTGGAACGAAACCATAGAAGGCAGTTTATAAAATCATAATTGGACAGTCAAGTCTAGGGCCAGTTACGGTTCTAGTATTTGAAAAATAGTAAACCGACACTTCACACCGGAAATTTTGAACCGACGGTTCAAACTGTCAAAACCCGTCTATTAACCTCCAATTTTATAAAAATTATTGAAAATTTCTAATTGGAAGTTAGTTTTTTATGTAATTTTTCATTTTTTTATACTTATGTTTTTGTTATTTTTGAACTATTAGCAAATGTTATAGAAAACTACAATGACAATCCATTAAATAATTGTCTATTTGGATTTTACTAAATTTTAAACAGTATCTTATATACTACTTTCTTTTCAAAATATAACTCGCTTTCTATTTGTGGTTCCACCAAATTATAAATTCATTTTGTTTTTCAATGCATAATTTCATAAAATTTTCTCAAATTGTCATTGTATTTTAAATACTATTTATGAAATCTTAATACACCATTATTTAAATTAAGTGGTTGATCTAATTAATTTTAGGTAAAAGAGATTTTTTCATTTATTAATAACCAACCGTTACTTATTGTGCCACTCAAAATGGACTTATATTTTTCTTAAAAAGACAATACTTATTTCTAATTATTAAAATCATGGGAAACCCGAAGATAACATACTATATTTAATCATTAAAAATTTGGTTAGCCATGCTACTAAAAGTATTTCTAATTTTATTTTTCTTATGCACTTGTTTTTTTCATTAAATCAATTTCTTTAGTTTCATTTTAACATAAAAATTAAATAGTAATAAATTGAATTACAATTTTACAAAAATCTAATTAAACCCGTGAAATATCATATTGACATCGTCAACACACAAAGTAAAACCATCAATAAATCAAAACCAAAACTGTCTGAAATCGGACTGGAACTGAAAGTTTATAAATCGAAACTGTAACCGTAACAGTAGACTTAGGGCCTGGTTAAGATTCATTTATTTATTGAACCGTGAACCGGTGATTTTGAACTATGCTCTTGCTTACCTCAACCATCTGAAAAAAGAAATTGATAGGGGTACAACTAAAATGAAAAAGACAACCATATTATAAATAATATATTTTGATGGGAATAATATGTTATATTGTCCTCTATAACTTGTCAAGACAAGAAAATAAAATTGTTAATATACTTATTTTTATTAAGAAACAATACGTAATAATTAATTTATTACATAACTTTACATAGCAAAAACTGAGTAAGAAAGATCTACTTGGGGAAACACAACATAAATTTATCTTTCGCCTTTGAGGTTTCTTTGGTGTCCAAGGAATCACAGACCTCACTTGTTGACAACATTTGGTTTCTTACTTTTCTTCGTAACTTTGGATCTTCACAACAATGATTCATAGAATAAATAGAGGCAAGAATCAATTTACAAAAAGAGAAGAAAAAATAATCATCGAATAGGTACGGTCTCAATTATGTAGAAGGAAAATAACACGCGAACCACTATTTTTGTTTCAATCATAAGTTAAAATTGAGGGAGGCTCACACCAAAAGGGAGAAAAGGGACAACATACCTTAATGGATTGCCATCAGAGAAGATTAAGCCATGGATACTACAATTGAAGGGGAGGGGGGAATAGTTTACTATGTAAACTTGTGAGAAACAATCAGAAATGGGGATTCAGATGGAAGAAAAGTCTATTGACTAACCACCATCATAGTGTTTACACGAGCAACTTACCCAAAGCCATTAGAAGACATGAAAAAGAAGTTCTTAAGAAAAACAATATTGGCGGCCGCAAATAAAATTCGTATACAAGTAAAGTAGTAAGAAAAGAATGATAATAGGGATTAGACCATCATGGATACCTTCTTTCTATTTTTCTTCAAGAGCGTTTACATAGACTTTTGATACTAGTTTAAAATCCGGATGGGAATCATGTAGGGTGGATGATTTTGGGTAAGGTTTGACTATATTCAAATTCTTAACTAAGATCGTATCTTTTGAAAATAATCCACAACAACCGGCCCAATTCTTAAAAACTACTATGGTTAAAATAAAAATTTCAAACTTGTAGATTATTATATGCTTGGATTTGATTAGCTTTGATTAGCTCAGATTTGGATTATTTTGGTAAGATAAGATCTGCTTTGTTAAAGTAACCAAAAGAAAGATCAAATTTGGCTAGAATTTGAAGATTTTATGGTTTGAAATTAAAAAATCTTCCAACAAAATCAAGAATGTAGGAATACTCGATTTGGATGAGTTTCAATTTAACTAAAAGACAGAACAACAACTGAGTTTTTTTAATCGAAGATACAATTTTTTCCATTTTAATAAATCAAAAAATTGAGAAACGTTTTAGTCCTAGGTGTCAAGTGAAAAGCTATCCCAATGTCCTCTCTCTGGGTTTTCTAGTTTTCAAATTCTTAAATAAGATCGTATATTTTTATAATAATCCACCACAACGGGCCTAATTCTTAAAAACTACTGTGGTTAGATTACGAATTTCAAACTTGCATTTTTTTTTTATTAGCTTAGATTTTGTTTATTT